TCAGTTGTGGGGCTTGAACTCTGGGCCTGAACGCTGTCCCTGAGCTCTTCAGCTCATGGCTAGTGCTCTACCATTTGAGCCACAGTGCCATTTCCAGTTTTCTGGTGGTTTATTGGAGATGAGAGTTTCACGGGCTTTCCTGCCCTGCCTGGGCTGGCTTTGAACCATGATCCTCTGATCTAACCTCCTGAGTAGCTAGGATTACAGGCATGAGCCACTCATGCCCCAGTTACTTTTATCTGCCAGTTTACAAGATCAGAACCTAAACTTATATTTGACTTGATTATATGGAAACTGTTGTCCAGAGCATTGAATCAGAAATAAAAAAAAGGATGTCTTGATCAAATTGTCTGTTCTTAGAAACTTTCAAGCAAACACTTCTAAGAAAAATGCATACAGGAAACCATACTTTTATCACTGGTTGTAAAGGGCCTTGACTCTACCTGGCTATGTCTTATGGCTAAGACAACAACAGTGATGATATTAACTGCTATTGAGGTTACCATTTTTTGCCCAGTGGGTGCCTTGATTTCACGATCATTATTCCTCACTGTGTGTATGTCACTAAACACCAGTTCCTCCTCCGCAGCACTGTATGTCCTTGTTAACTAAAAACAAGTCCTTTAGCTCCATAAACTCTCTCTTGACTATAGCTAATAAGAGAGGCTTTCTTCTACTGGTAAAAGCAGCTGTTTATGGAAAGAAATTACATGAAAGACTCCAGATGAGACAGAGACGAAAGAGAGCCATAGGAGTACATATGATTGAATTGTACCATATATATACATGTTTAAAATGTCACAATGAAACCTTTTGTGAAATAAATAATGAAACTAGTTGCAATAAACTTACTATTATTACTTTTTATTATTAACTGAATACATTCAAAGTATACAGTTGATCCTGGGAAGGCTGGCAGCCTTCCTAGATCACAGCTTACTAAGCCTGAAACCTGCCTCAGCAAGCAGGGTCCAAGATTACGTTGTATCTTAATTGGAGTGGGTAAATAGCCATACAGAAAAACAATTCAGCTTTGCATGGAACTGTCTGTGGGGTACTATCTGTTGATATTGCCTAACTCCACCATTGTAGCTTGAAAGCAGCCATAGATGGTAATAATGGGTGTGGACATGTTCCAAAACAGCTATATTTACAAAATCAGATGCCAACCAGGCATCTGGTACTCTAAAAGATACAAGTGTAATAGAAATGTCTGCTAAATGTATCTTATTTCCCTAATGACTATTAACACATACATTTTATCTTTTGAGCCCTGACTTTACATTTTATTTTTTCTACTATTTTCCTGAACCTCTATAATTGTATGGAGTCTTTTCCAATCAGTGATAGGGAGAGAACAATCTTAATTGCGAGTTTGGAAAGCCTAGAAAACTGATTCCTCAAAGTGACCGTGGCCACCTGCTGGCTCCTTAAGGTTGTTGCAACTTTAATAATTTTCTGTAGAATTTCACGTTAGAATTTCTCTACCGTCAGACGTTAAACTAATTAGAAGAACTTAAACAACAAACAAAACACCTCTGATCCTATCTCCATATCTCCAGAGATCATCATTAGTTTGGATTAGGTTTAGGTTAACAGTCTTAGCTGGTTATCGGTGACCACGCGATTGTGGTTCAGAGCCACCCTGGGCAGGGCAGGAAAGTCTGTGAAACTCTTATCTCCAATAAACCACTCAAAAAACAGGAAGTGGTGCAGTGGCTCAAGTGGTAGAGGGCTAGCCTTGAGCTGAAGAGCTGAGGAACAGCATTCAGGCTCAGTTCAAACCCCATGACCGACCAAAACACAACAACAACAACAACAAAAACCCAAAAAAACAGTCATATACTTTTTATAAGGACCATTCTTCTGCCTCAGAAGATTCTAAAGCAGTGTAGGCTTAACCACTGTGTACTCACTCAGCTGGCTATATTTAAAAAGCAAAGTTGAATTTAGTGGCACCAGATGGTATTTATTTATATTTGAGTTGTGAGGCAAAGCTATTCATACCAGCTTCAAGTTGACCCCTGTGCATACTCTTGAAATACCCACCAGGCTGCCAGAGTTTACATCTGCTGACATATGGGTCACATAGATAATTCTTGTAATTAATTGCTAATTACTTTAAAGAAGAATTTACTTGGACTGGCAAGTCATAAAATGATGAAATGCAATTGTTGAAACCTAGTCATGTGTAAAGAAGGAAAACTAGTAAATTGACTACATTTATATAGTACACCAGTTTTGATAACTCAAAACTTACAGCAATATAAGAGACAGTTTTTATGTGGTGATTACATGATGTAATTACAGAAGGTAATTAAACAGATCTGATTTCTGCATGTGAATAGTGTAGTTCAATAGTCAAGTTAAATAATCTGCTCTTTCCTTTTTTAGAGGGTAATCTGTCAGCTTGCCTTTTATCTACCTTAAAAATTCTTTTAAGGAACTTTGCTATTCAATTCCATTTACATTTTTTAATTTGTATTTTGATAAAATGAGAATGTAATGGTATGCATTTTTTTTAATCACAGAAGCCAGGTTGGTCATTTAACTTTTAGAAATAGGCACACTGGGATCATTGTTCAATCCTTGTATGGTAAAGAGTTACATTTACAATGTAAATGTTTATAATGTTTATAAGGTTATTGTGAAAAATGAGGACTGTACATTCTGTGTGTAGAATTTTGATGTTACAAATAAAACTTGTATATGGAATCAACCATTACAAGATCATTAAATGGAAAAGACTTTCAGAACTAAACTACTTAGCTGTTTCTGGATGAGTCTTACAACTAAAAAAACAAAAAACATATCCTGAATCTGTGTTCTAAAACTCTGTTCATGCCTGTGGTATGTTCTAAGCACAGATTTTTTCCCCCCTAAAGAACAACTTTTAATCTGTATTAAAGCTTCTATTTTGTTTACATTGTTTAACATGTTGCTGGTCTTTGGTTCATTTATTCAACATCTGCTCTTTCAGAAGGGTTTTCCTTGGTAAATTCAGCCCCCTTAGCTACATCTTATCATCCTGTAATATAGCTTGTCTAATATGTACTATTGCTCACATTATTGTGTTTCTTAAGGCTGTCATAACAAATGACCAACACTAGGTGGCTTAAAAAGGGAATCTTGTTCTATCATAATTCTAGAGTTTGTAAGTCTGATATCAAGATATTGGGAGAGCCATGCTCCCACTCATGTCTGTGGGAGAATCCTCCCTTGCCTTTTTCACCTCTGGTTGTTGTCATCAATCCTTGGTGTTTTTTGGCTTCTGTCTTCCCATAACATTCTCTGTGTCTGACTTCATCGGATCATTTTATGACACTGTCTTTGGATTTGGGACCCATTTCTAATCCAGTATGATTTCATATTAATTAATAACATCGTTAAAGCCTATATCCAACTAAGGTTTTATTCTGAGGCTATCTACATGCATTTGGGGGCTACTATTTAACTAGTATGTTATGGTAAGAGCATGTAATGTTTTTTACCTTTTTGTTCTGTTTATCCAGGCTTCCTAGTAGTAAAAGAAGTTAACATTTTACAAAAAGCTTTTAAAATAGCTCTATTTTTATATTATCCCTTATTAAAACTTTCATTTCTTTCCCAATAAGGTACAAGTGAATGATAGTACATTTTCCATCTGTTGGGAGTAAAAAGGATAGGTTGTAATTTGGGGGTCTTGCTAACTATTTAAAATTCTCTTCTCTTTGTTTTAGCACTGCAGCATTCAAGAAAAAATAGACTTAGAAATTCGAATGCGAGAAGGAATATGGAAACTCCTTTCTCTGAGCACTCAAAAGGACCAAGTGTTACTTGCAGTTAAGAACCTCATGGTGTGCAATTCCCGAATAATGGCTTATACTTCGGAGCTCCGGAAATTAGAAGAGAGGATTGCCAATCAAACTGGAAGATGGTTAGTAGCATAGTTTACCTGTGACTTTTAATGTACTTAAGAATTTGAGTTGAAAACAGGAAATGACGTTAGTGTAAATACAAATACCATATCACAAATCTTTTTAAAAAGCAGTAGGCGTCATTTTGAAAGCGGACTAAAGAATGAACTAAGCATAAAGTAGTAACTTTCATGGGACAATTGGTTGTGTTCAACATGTGACTATACAATAAAAGTAGTTGAGAAGCGTATAATTCAAGAGATACAATATTTCAAGAAGAAAGACTGATAGATAAGGATATGAAAATAAAATTTAGGGGCTGGGTAGATGGCTCAGTGGTAGAGCACTTGCCTTGCATGCCTGAGGCCCTGGGTTCGATTCCTCAGCACCACATAAGCAAAAAGAAAAAAGCCGAAAGTGGTGCTGTGGTTCAAGTGGTAGAGCGCTAGCCTTGAGCTGAAGAGCTGAGGGACAGCTTCCAGGCCCAGAGTTCAGGCCGCACGACCGGACCCCCTCCAAAAAAAAAAGAAAATAAAATTTAAAAGGTTAATAAAAAGGTACTAGCTAAGAGTAATAGAGACTTGAATGTAGAAATTGAAATGAATGTGCATCAGATTATAAAGATATAAAAGCTTATGAACAGAGAAACTTTAAAGTCTGCTAGCACATCTACTCATATAGTAATCATCAATGCTAGAGGAACAAAATCAGTTAAGGACATGTAATTAGCTAGTGACAGAAGCTAAGGAGAGAGGCTAAGGAGCCCTGCATTCTTTCCATCACTACAGGTTGCCCTTTTGGATTAGATGTATGAGTTGTATATGGGAATATATCCTATCCTATTTATAGTTTATAGTGTCAGATTTTAGTTAGACCTAAGAATCAGCTCAATTTAGTAGCTAGAGTTTGGTGTCCTTTTAGTATAATTTTATATCCTCCTTATAGTATGCTCCTTATTGTTTATGTTTTGCTAAGCAAAAAATATTGCCAGCTAGGTTTATGTATAATTTATAGGAAAGTCAGACTGATGCCAAAAAGTAAATATAGAAAATTTTCTAGTTTGAGTAGATGTTAGGGACCAGTTCACAGATTGAATTAATTTTCTAGGCTTTTGACTAAAAAACCGGACTGTTTCCCTCCCTATTTTCCTGCATAACTCTCTTTAAAGACTATTCTATCAATCCACTTCTCAAAAGACATATAATAGTCATCATTTACTGAAATTCCATTCTGTAGATAAGATAAGCCTTCTAGGATCTTAGCGGTCTAATTCAAAACTACTTTCATAGTCTTACTGCTCAATTTCTGCTCTACCAATTTATTGCAAACAAAAAGCTGTTTGATTTGTATTCCCAGAACACTTCTTGAATTTTCTTGTCTCTAGGGCCTTTTACTTAATTGAAGTGCCCTGTCTCCCATTCCCACTTGACAAAACCCTTGTGTTCTAAGACAATTGTAGCATCCGTTTTCTTTGTAATTCCCTCAAGGAAAGTGGTGATTTTTGTGTTGCAAAGGAAGGATCGTGTGAGGACTCAAAAAATGAATTCCTTCCTCCTAATTCTAAGAGCATCTGGTATGTGAATAGCTCACTATACCTTACTGCATTCTAAGAGCACATGTATACACATATTTTCAATTCGATTATGAACTTTTGGGAAAATGGAACAATGTCTTGTTCTGATTGGTAAGGTAGAGATATCACTTCTTCCTTCATAAGCTTTACTGTAAGGATTAATGCCCAGAGCTTAGATGCAACTTATAGCTAAGGCAACTCATCTGATGCTGGTTCTCTTCCTTCTTGTGTGGGTACTGAGGAATACCTGGCATTGCTGTATGTGTATACCCAAAGTCATATGCTGCTGCCTCACTTTCAAATGTACAATGAGCCATAGGGCTTAGAACTAATTTACTAACAGTTAATTGTATTCTAGTAACTCTTTCATTGTCATGCCCATCCATGTTCTTAGAGTCTTCACTCTCTTGTTGGTCCAAACATTCGGTTCCAGCCTGTCATTTAGCTCTCATTTGTTCTTTTTTTTTTTTTTGGTCAGTCGTGGGGTTTGAACTCTGGGCTTGGGCACTGTCCCTGCAATTCTTCAGCTGAAAGCAAGTGCTCTACCACTTGAGCCACAGCTCCGCTTCTGGTTTTCTATTGGAGATAAGAGTCTCACGGACTTTCCTACCCTGGCTGGCTTTGAACCTCGATCCTCAGATCTCAGCCTCCTGAGTAGCTGAGATTACAGGCATTAGCCTTTGATGCCCAGCTCTTATTCATTTTTTAAACTACTTTTTTCTTTTGAAATGTGTCATATACTAAAAAAAAAATGTAAATTCACCTTGCTTGACCAGTTAGTAGTTTGCAATATACGTTCATCCATTCTTTCCCTCTTTTTCTGCTCACACACAAATTTTTCTTCATTTGAAAGTTAAGAGACAAGCCACACAGGAATGTATGCCTTAATAGTTGGCATATATCTTCCAAAAAACGACATGCTTCCCTATAATCAAAATATGGTCATAAATGTGAAATATTAGAGGCTGGGGAGGTGGCTCAGTGGTAGAGTGCTTGCCTTGCATGCATGAGGCCATGGGTTCCATTCCTCAGCACCACATAAGCAGAAAAAGCTGGAAGTGGCGCTGTGGCTCAAGTGGTAGAGTGCTAGTCTTGAGCTGAAGAGCTGAGGGACAGTGCCCAGGCCCACAGTTCAGGACCCACAACCAACCAAAACAATAAAGTGAAATATTAGCCATAATTTCATCAGAACCATCTACTACTCATATATCAACTTTTATCCAGCAAATCATTTCTAGTGGGTTTTTTTGCCCTCAAGCTAGAACTCTTTATTAAGATTTGTGCAGCACATTTGGTTATTTCTCTTTGGCTTGTTTTAATTACTGTACCTTTCTCTAATAGCCCTTAGTAATCTCAGAAGTGTGCAGTCTAAAAAACATCCTTTAAAAATGCACAGCAGTCTACATTTGTCTAATTGTCTCTTTAAGGTAACATTGAACTTTTTACATTTTCTATTTTTGCTGTTAACTAGCTCTAAAGACTTGATCAGCCTCAATTAAATATTTTTTGTAAGAATCATTCTAGGTATGTGTACTTCTAATTGATGCATTATGGTATGATAAAGGATGATGATCCTTTGATTTATCTTATTTATGGTAGTGCTGTGGATGGAACTCAGAGCCTTGTATGTGTTAGCTAAGTAGTCTTCCACTGAGCTACATCGCCAAACCCCTAATTCCTTAGTTTAGATGGCAGCTTCCTTTTTTCGTGATAAAATCATTTTCTGTTTCCATTTTGTAAGTAAATCTTGGTATGTTAGGACTGGTGAATATTCTATTATCCAAAGAGCTTTAACTGAATGGCTTTATCATCCATTTATGATTCTTTCCCAAGTCATTGTTAGTGGGATTTGTAAAATAGCAATTGTTCTGTTACTGTTTTTACACTTCAGTGGCTGATCCTCCTCTGTAAAGAAGAAAATCATAGAAAAATCCATGAATATGATTTTTATTTATCCAGTGTATTGTTAGCATTAATCTTTTCAATAATAAAATTGTCCCAAATTTGTTCAGTGGGAGTTTCTTTAAAATAGCTTGTTTGTTCTTTTGACATTCCTGAATTAATCTTTAAGAACTCATTTGCTTTCTGACTCACACACCAAAAAAAAAAAAGCCCCTCAGGTTTGTCTGTTTATTTTTCCCTACTCCAGGCATTGGTTAGACATTTTTCTGAGTTCTCATTCGTGCTAATGGTGATCAAAGTCCTGAGGTATTTCTAGTCTATGCCTTTCAATGGACATAGCTATGAAAATGACTTAAATTGTGAATTTATATGGATCCTTATAGGCCTCTATTTTCTGGATTATTTTTGCTTGTATTCATACCTCTTTTCCCTTACACTGAAAATCTTAATTTTCAGTAATAATATATTTCCTTATTTTATATTATGACTGTATAAAATTATTTCATATTACATAACCAATATTATTGACAAATCTATCTTGATGCATTCAAGATTTTTTGAAGTTCTTTTCCAACATAAAGAAATTATTGTGAAATTTACCAACAAAGTAGTAGAAAGAATTACATGGCAAGTACCTATGTACCTACCATCTAGAATCTATAATTAGTCTTTTGTGGTATTTACTGTAATCCTCTATCACCCATCCCATTGATTTATCTTTTTTTATATTCTGTGTGTTTTCACACACACAAAGGCACAGACATAGATACACGTACTTCTGTGGATATAGACCAGAGAACTTTATTCAGAAATTATCTGATGTCACATGCCTATAACGTCACAACTTGTGAGGCTGAGACAGGAAGCACATAAATTCAAAGCTAGTCTGGGCTACATGGCAAGATCTTCTGTCTCAAAAAGGAAAAGAAATAGATTTGAATTTTTTTCTCTATGTTTATATTATACATTTCATAAACTTAAGTTTCTTCTTTAGGAGAAAGTCAGTTGCCAGAAAATTCCTTAATATGAGTATATTTTTCTTCATATTTTTGTGTGCTCAAAATGTTTTTCTTTAGTGTTGCTATTTAAAAGACAACTGGTCTAGTTATCCTTTATAGCACAGTTGTTACATAGCAATTGTCACAATAATTGTGAAAGAAATTATACTACTACATAATTGAATTATATTATAATAATTCTATGAAGTTATATTGAATTATATAAGAATTATATTGTTACTGTTCTTATATAACAATTATAAAACACTTTCTTTCCTGAGTTCCTTAAAAACCTTGTTGTCATTACTTTAAAAAATCTAATATTCAGGCTGGGCACTGATGGCTCAAACCTATAATCCTTGATACTCAGAAGTTTGAAACTTGAGGATCCTGGTTCAAAGCCAGCCTAGGCAGCACAATCAATCTATAAGACTCTTATCTCTAAATAACTACCCAAAAAATGGAGCTGTGGATCAAGTGGTAGAGCACTAGCCTTTGGCAAAAGAAAAGAAAAGAAAAGCTCAGGAATGGTGTCCTTTCACCAGCA